CCTTAAGTCATCTATAGCCTTAAGAGCATCAGCTGTTGATACAGACTTTTTATTGCATTCAGTATCATCCTCATCGTCACTTCCTTCAGCATTCAGATTTAAGACATTAGATACAATGCCTTCCACAGTTGCTTCACAATTAGTGAGGACATCAACGTCTATTTGGGAATACAAATTTACGTCCGGCATTGCATAGCCTCGGTTTCGAAGATTTTCTGCCAATTCAGCCAATGGAAGATCTTCCTCAGGGTCCTCTAATGATACCGAAGAGTCTGGAGAACAGTGGAACCCCGCGTGACGGAAACAATTTTCAATAGTTTTCGACGACACCATGTTCCAGCTTTGGTCAATATAGAACAGTGCGTTCAAAACTGAAACGTGAAATTCTTCTTTTTTGTCTATGGCGGTGATCATATCCCGTAGAAGAAGCTTTCTATACATAGACTTGAAGCTTTGAATTATGCCTTGATCTAGAGGCTGCAACACACATGTGCTGTTTGGAGGCAAAAATACGAGCTCAATTGATTTCAAGCCCTCAACAGGACAGTGAGCAGTGCAGTTATCAGCAATCAATGCAACTTTTCTGTTTTTCTTTGAAAAATGTAGGTCCCACCTTCTGAGAGTTTTTCCCCAGATCGTTTGGGTCCTCCATGCTTTGGAATTGGCATCATACAAAAGGGGCAAAGATTTCAATTTTTCATGCATCTCGGTTTCAGAAATTTTCCAATCACCAAAGGAATCATTTTCTCCGAACCATCCATGTTTGCAGATAACAAAACTGTTAAGCGTTCCTTACTTTTTTTTCCGCCTACACAATTTTCTCCTTTGAAGCAAAGGGTTCTGTCGGGTAAGATCCTATAGAAAAGTCCACATTCATCAACGTTGAACACGTTAGCAGGTTCATATCTTTCATGAATATCTCGCAACACTACGTCTTTCCATTCTTTTAAAGAACTGTTGTCAAAATCAGCAGCTTCTCCGCACAATTTCAAAGAATAGGTTATTTCTTGCATTGAATCACTGTATCCAGCCATTGCTTGCAACAAAATTTGATTCTCCTAGTTCTTTAGCTATTTCTAAAGCTTTTTCTTTTAGAATATTCCAGGATATAGGAGCATTTTGTGATGGTGCATATTTGATCCATGACAGAAGAGCCTTCTCCACATTCTCATAAGGTGACACACGCTGACGTTTTCTTTCTCGGTCGCTAATTGAAACATCTGGACAGCTACGTTTGGCTGCTAAAATGTTGTTTAAAGTTGTTCGCGGTATAGAATTTTCTTTGGCAAAAGCAACTTTTGAAAGGTTAGATTTTTTAAACTTTTCAATCAATTCATTTTTTTCCGATATTGTTAAATTCTTTCTTTTCGAAGCCATAATGAAAGCATGGATATGTTATTCGTTCAGTAATCCAATAAAAATGTTTTTTTCTCTCAACTTCAACTCCTTTTCAAGCTCTGAGAGATAACTTCAAACGATCAAAAGACCTTTCGCCCTTGGGTGGGGAAAAGAATGCCAGTGGTCAAATGTGGAGAGGGTAAGGTCATCAATGAATGCAAAAGAGAAAAGAGGGTAGGGTGACGAAATAGAGGGGGGAAATTCCAGTTCTCTCCGGGGGTCGAAGGAATGTGTTTACCTTCTGGTCATTTTTCTTGTCTTCCTGTCTAGAGAAATGTCTTAAAATGTATCTTTTTTCAAAAGAAAAAAAAAAGGAAACTGACCATATAACCGGTAACTCGAGAAATGGATGGGTGGTCTAATGTAAACAATAACAAGCGTCCTTAAACCGGAAGAAATTTAGAAAATTTCCGGTGTATCCCTCCGCTTATGTTATGACTACGAGGCGATGTGTGAATAAGCCTAATATTCTATAAAGTTTTGTTATTGTAATTTGGGTTCAAATCTAAACATAATTGTACCATTCATAAGAGCTTTCAGAAATGTATTGATTCTCAGAGGTCGTAAGGCCAAAAAAATTTTTGGAAAGTTAATATCTCATTGTGAATAATTCTTAAGGTTTGCCATGTTTTGCATTTTCTCCCTTATTTGGCTACATTTGAATTGAATGTCGCCAAAAATATCTTTTCAAGTTAGCCTAATTAGAAAATATTCTGATGATTATAATATTAATATGATAATGCTGAAGTTTAAAGGCTGAAAGAAAGAACTCGGTACATGTGAAATACTGCAAAAGATATGCAATAATATGATGGCGCGTTTTTTCAATCTGCGGCGTAAAAATATATCGAAAGCAGTAACCCGGAAGTCTAGAAAGAGCAATTTTACCACCCTTAGCTTTACACGATCACCCATCCATAGGATGACCATATAAGCGGTGATCTTTAACACGTGTTTCCTATTAAGTTAGATGGGACTTTAGAAAATTGACCATATAAGCGGGGTGACCTTATAAGAGGGTGACCATATAGGCGGTACTGACTATATATATATATATGTGTGTGTGTGTGTGTGTATATATATATCGTATCGAGAAAGAGCGTTTTTTCGTCTGATTTCGTAACTTCAATATTAGTTAGTACTAATTAATTATCAAATCTGAAATCAGCCCCTTGAACCATTAAGTTTGATACTTAGTACGTAAAAACCGAATCATTAGAACGAAAGTTATTCGGGGTGATATCTTTTTTTATTTTGGGCACAGTACAATCGAAATCAAGTATGAGTTGGCGTGAGTTTGTTGTTTCCTGATTGTTTTTTGTGGCGCATCCAACTCTAATTGATTTTACTTTAAATTCTATTGTAAAAATAACTTAACTGATTCTTATGTGTATCATATCTTATAATAATCATGGGTTTTAGTGTTATCGAACAACAAAAAGGGTGGCTAACTATTTTACATCCAGTAGGGTAAAAATACATTAATGGTATACAGCACTTTTGGTGTAAAGTAATTGCCCCCCTTTTTTTGTTTTAAGATACACAGAAATGTTTACAGCTCATGAAGAAAAATTTTACCAGATTTAGAATTAGCACTATTTTTTTACATTTTTATTTATCCTCTTTTGTGACTGTGTGGCTGTGTGAATATTGCAATTGCAATTTTAATCACTTTATGTTTTGCTAGTGCATTCAAATTTCCATTGGATTTCAAACCCTGATAACATCCAAATTTCAGTTGTTCCCAGGCCGCTTTAAGTAGAATTCATTATTTTATCCTCAATCTAAATTCAATCCACTTTCCGACTAACTAGAGTTTATAAATTTCCTCTAGTACTCTGCGACTGACAATAATACAAGTTTCAATTATTTACTGATAACTATCTTTATACCAATCGCAATACAAACAGAAAACAATTATCTCATTCATTGTTAATTAAAATTTTAACCCACTTCTATTAGCTACTTGCAAAATTTAAAATTGTTTAAAAATTGTTCCTTATTGTTTTGACCTAACGTAAAACAAAAATTACGGTCAGTTAAAATTTTTATGACTTTTCTACGAAGTTTTGATAACTTATAAACTAATAAACTAAATCTAAAATAAAAAATTATTAAACAAAACGTAAGAAATAATAATAAATACTGCCTTTTTCAAGCAGGTAAGACAATTTTACTATTGTCAGACCTTCAACCAAAAGCATAGGGTGTGACTTTTCTGTAAAAAGCTTCTATGACAGAATATTTCCATAGATGCAGCTATGATTTTTTCAGGTTTGACAGAGATAAAATTATTAACTCCTTTCAAATGTATTCGAAAAACGTCGTTTTTAAAAAATAATTTCGATTTATTTTAGTGTTTATTTTAGAATAAAGTTTAAAAACTGAAAATAATTCATGCACTCATAACTATAGTTTTTATTCACGAGAAAAAGCCCCTATTGTCAAGCTATAAATACGAAAGGCAAACATATCATAAATATAAAAGAACATAGAAACATAAAGCTAGAGAAATTCAATAACCTAACAAAATCTCGAAGTATAAAATCTTACATCCATTATTTATCAGAATCTGTCAATTTTATTGCTAATTCTTTGAATCATTTTAATGATTACATAAAAGTTTAGTTGTTCACATAATCTCGTAAAAATCGAGTCAAAATTATAATTTTGGAAAAGACCAAGAAAAGTTTCACATAACTAGCAAATTGTGGAAAATATTATTGACCAAATTCAGTTTTAAAATTAACTATCCCTGTAACCTGTGAAAATTTTCAATAGGTTTGACACTTTCTCTTGGTAAAAATTCAATTATTACATTATACATTAATATTCAATTATTCAACTACATTGATACATATATATTTAATTATTCAACTACATTAGGAACGTTAAGCCCACTCATAATTCAAGTCTTTTAAAAAAAATGAATTTACAAAAAACTAAACACTGCCGCACAATTATTTAAATTCTAGATAAAGTTCGATTGTTGCTATGACAATGAAAACAAAAATAGTCTTCTGCTATTAAAAAAGTATCATTTTTATTTTATCCACCTACGCATTTTTTCTATTATTTGCTTTAATAGTCTATATTATAAATTTAAAAGTTATTCTATTCTTCAAATTTGTTCCTTTCTATACTTAATATTATATACTTTAAATTTTAAAGTTTATATATATTTTAAATGATTATATATTTTAAATTTGCAGCTTTAAATAACTTCAAAAAGTGTATTTATATAATAAAATATCGATGGATTGTAGTTAAATGTAATTTATTACAGTACGGTTATAATATGACTATTAAAGCCTTACTTTTTAAAAAAATGATTAAATAAAAAGATTTCTTTTCAGGAAAAATACTGTCTCAACGTAATTACTAATTTATGGAACATTACTTTTACTGAGAACCGTATTATCTATAAAATAAGCTGTTAAAAACTTTTGAACAAATGAGAAAAGTAGCATCATTTAAGAGAAAATCGAAGAATATTTTCTTTTTTAACTTATTTCCTAGTTATCAAAATTTCATTTTTGTTTCGTTTACCTTTAACATTTACAATCAAAATTGAAACTTTGTTTCGCTAGTTACTAACGACTATCAAAACATTTGGCTTTTTATTTTTTTATTATTTCGTCTTTACTTTGTTTTGTTTAACAAATAATGCTTCATAAAGGGCTATTAATTATTTATATTTTCCTCCTCTTTATATTTTTAAAAGCTTTCTTAGAATTTCATTTTTATGAAACTTATGTCAAATTGCATAAATGATTTATCATTGGTTGACGGAATTAATATTTTGGCGAGTATAAGAAAATGAATTTACACAATGCTTGCGTTACTATTATTTACTTAATGTAAAATATTTTGCTTTTGAATAATAATATACTGAGATAAAATAGATTTAAATAAAATGAGGTTTTAAACACCTGCTTTTTATAAATTTTTCAGCTGATATAAGCAAACTAGAAAGAGTTATGTTAGCAGTGCTAGTTCTATGGTTCAACAATGTGTCTGGGTGAAAATTTAAAAAAAAAGTGTTTTTGTAAAGCAAAAAAAAAAAAAAAAAAAAAAAAAAAAAAAAAAAAAAAAAAAAAAAAAAAANAAAAAAAAAAAAAAAAAAAAAAACAGCTGAAGGGGACCAGTGACATAATGCTGACAAGGAGATTAGCATTATGCATTGGCTACCTTTACTTCTGAGAAGCTAATACCCATCTCTTTGAGGATATGTAGGATCCAAGCATCATAAATAGATCCAGGCTTAAAAGAAATAGTACTAAGAAGGCTTAGTATTAATAACAAAAATCATTTATTAATTTCGGTATTAAGACAACAAAGAAATACCAGTAAAAAAAGTTAGCCACCCATCAGCTAAGACTAAAATATGTTCTTAAGCCTGTATTTTTATCCAGTTTTTTAACTATCCTAAAACCAGTTTTTCAGCCTATTATTTAATTAGTAAATCGAACATTAAAGAAAAAGTTTTATACAAACTTATCTTTATGCAAAATACTATTAATTACATTACTTAGTTTTAAACGAATTTATGCTAAGCCTAACAATTGTGCTCTTATATAACTTTATTTACTCCTAAATTGCGCATACTCTTCAACTTAATTAGTTTAAAATATTT